TTCTGTAGAAATACAGGTTGAGCCCTCGTTGCTATGTTTGCATCATTTCATTGTTTTGATTTTGCCAGCGCTTTGCACTGAGGAGCCTCACACCATCCAAAGTCTGCTGTCAATCTGTCTTCTTAGGCCCGTTACGTTCACCTACTTCTTTCTCTGTCTTATGATTGTTATCACTTCTCCTACTTCTTTTTCCACCTTAAGTACCTCTTTCCATTCATTTGTTTTCATTAGCTTTTTCAGATCCCTGGTTACTGTATTTTGTCTTTCTGTCCTTTCTTTCCTTCTCTCTGCTAACTCTGTTTGTCTGTCCTTTAAATTCACTTTTTCATTTTCTCTATTTCCTTTTAGTATCTTCTCTCTTTCTGTGCTGTTTTTCTTTTTTGCCTCCTTCTTCCTCCCTCCTCCTCCATTTGTTGCTCATCCTCTCTCCCTTCCTGACTTTCTCTCCTCCTACTCTCTCGTCTTTCTTTCCTCCGCCCCTCTCTCAGCCTCCCTCAGCCTTCCTTTCTCTAGTCGATCAGAGAGTTGAAGCAGCCAAGCTGCCGGAGGCAAGAGCAGACAGAGGACCCACTCTGTCCGACCTCCCTCCCTCTCCAGAGAGGCAAACTAATGCCGACACGCCAATAAACTGTAAGGAGACAGTTATTCACCATTTATATCAGTTTTTTTGAGTTATTCTGAGTTAGCAAAGCCTGCTTTGAATATTATCTCCTCATTAAATGGCTGTTATTAGCTGTCATCACATCCATAATTATGCTTCAGAAGGGTAAACTGCACCTACCAATAGGCAAGAAGGTGCATTACATTGACACTGTCCTCCTCTAAAAGGTGACCTCTAGGGGCCATAGTAATTATGACAGGAGCATAAGTCAGGTGACGTAGGTGACACTGTATAAAAAGCAGCAACATCTGCATAAAAAGGAGTATTGGGAACATGGGTGGGATGACAGGACGCTTTCAAATGGGAGATAGATGTTTGTTGCCTGTTGGAAAGTGATGCTCAGTGTTGTTACTTTGCATAAAAAGGAGTATTGGAAAGTGATGCTCAGTGTTGTTACTTAATAAATAGTTATTTTAACCCAAACCATGCTCTTTTCTAAACCTAACAAAGTTGTGTTTGTGCCTAAACCTGATGCAAAAGCCTTGGTCTGGCAACATGATAATGACCTACTGAGCCAACTAAGAGGTGGAGTAGTGTCCTACCAACCCACATCTATGTTTTTGATGACAAATGATAACAGCCATTTAATGGTGTGAAATCATTTGAAGCAGGTGGTACACCTTATCTTCTTGGAAACCAGCTCTGTTTACCCACAGAGTGTTTTTTTTTATGCTTTTGTTCTTTTATGGGTGAAATTTTCATTGACTGATTGGTAGAAATTTGCACCAGGGAAGCTGCAGCATAGAGGCTAGAGTTACTACTGGAAGAACACTGGTCAAAGCCAACTTGGAAAATGTGGGAGAAGGGAATGTAAATAAGACATGATCTCATCTCCCAGAACAAATGCTGTCAACGTGCCCTTCAACAAGGCCAAGATCTCAGCTGGGTCTGCTCAGTGTCCAGTAGATAGAGACTGTAATTATACGGGGCAGTTCCCATTTATGGATGAAACAAAGTGTTTGTTTGAATGGAATAAGCATGTTCAGACAATCAGCTTTGTATCAATTACAGTCTTTTAAATGCCTTAACTAAATCACCCATCTTTGAGCATGTTTCTTGGAAAGTAGTATTTCAAATCCAACTTATATTTACAGTTCATGAAAATGTTTTGGTGTTTTTCATAAAGTCCACTCGAAGTTTTCTCCATATGATTTTTTCTTCTATGTCAAACAGCAGTGTGCTTTGCTGCAGAGACACCGAGGTTAAGACGAAGGATAGGGAAGGGGAGCAAGAAGGAGAGAACTTTACAGCAGCCTGTCTGAATGAGAGCTGCTGCAACAGTAACTGCATGTTGTGTAGATGTGTGTGCGCACACGTAGTTTGAGAGTATGTCTGTACATGATGAAAAAATGACTGTAGTGCATGTTAAAGACGTCTTTGGGAGGAAAGACAGGGTGTGAATGATTGACTGCTCTGTTGATGAGCTCTTCAAACATAACAGTGGAGTGCATTAAGTCTCATATTCAGGCGCTTACATAAATACTCAGATACACAGAGGAAAGCGCAAGCAGTGGCAGTGTGAGAATCGCAATCTCTTTTCTTCTGCAAGATATCCACTGTCAGAAACAATGATAGCAGGCTTGTCACTTGTCTGTTACAGTGAGGTGTTGATATGCAGTGAAATTTAAATTCTCTCCTGGCACAGGTTTCTAATAGCCACATGTTCAGAATGACTTGGAACGGCTTTCCTTAATTTTTTTCTTTAGATAAAAAAATCTCTATTTACTGCAGTAACGCAGAAAGTTTCATTAATACACAGTAACAGATAGACACACTTGCTGTGTCCCGGTACCTTAAACCTATTATCAACTCCAAACAACAAAAGACAGCCCACAGAGACAGATTCTTTTATTTTAAACGTGATGTTTTGGCTCCAGCTCACGTTCTGCATTGTTGTGTCTGATCAAGTTGAAGTTTAAGGCGAACAGGCCGCCCACTCTCTTTCTGTCTGTTCAATGATAACAGCTGTAGAGCAAAGTGAAGATTTATTCTCCCTGTGAATCGATGCTAATCACGTCATTGTGCTCCCCCATTCCGCTGCCTCTCTCTGGGGTTTCACACCCCTCTCTGGCCTTTTCCTCCTCACCCGCCGCTTCTCGTGCTCTCTTCCCCTCTTCCCTCATCACAAGGGAGGTGAAGCCATCTGAGGCTATTTGCACGCAAGCCAGCCCTCCTCATGGGTCAGCGCTGTGCAGACTGATACTGGAGTTGTCACCACTGCAGAAAGCTCTCTTCATGCATCTTTCATCCATCTTCGCAGCCTGTTGTTCTTTCAGTGGCGTAAAGTAGATCTGAGCATAGAGTTTTTCAGCTGTATGACCATTTGAGACAAAGATCTTGGATTTTAGTTGTGATAATGGTCTGAAATCACTGCCAAGCATCATCAAAATATTGTCACAATAATAACATTTTTGGTTGAGATATTAGAATGACTTTTTGTGTTACGCAGCAATGCTGGACTGTCCCAGGCAAAAGTCTATGAAGTCTTTGGTCATGTCAGTGGCCCTAGATTGCACTGTGAAACATTTCCAACCCTGTTTAAAGTTTTGGTCACACCAAAATTCTGACACCATCAAAAATTTAGAAACAAAGTCCTTCAGTGTGACTGTTTCCAAAACCCAAATGTTCAAACCAATAAATCAGAATATTTCAAATTCAAATGTATTTAAAGTGTGGGCTCACACACATTACAGCCACATAAATGAAATGCATCAAAAGCATGGACAGAATTAAAATGTAAAGTTAAAATGAAATTATCATAAAATAAAATAAATATAAGCAAAGTTAATTTAATCCTATAGCCCTTTTAAAATCCCAAGGTTACAAAATGCTTCACAACTAAATGAATTAACATAATCGTAACAGCCACACGTGTCACTCACAATCACAGCAAAGCATAATAAAATAAACATAAAACACTAAAAAGAATAAAAATTTATAAATAGGTAAGAAAGTCCCTGGCAGAAGACACGAATGCTAGTGAGAAGAGATGAGATTTCAGTAATAATTTAACGGTGCCCAACTATAGGGCCTTTGAGCTTTAGCCGAACCTCCGGTAATAACTGTTTGGAAGATCTAAGATTGTTCTGGAATGTAAGGATGTAACAAATCATTAATGTAGGGGGGGGGTGCTAAACCATTTAATGCTTTAAAAACAAAACTCAGCACATTAAACTTGATTCTAAAACCAACTGGAAGCCAGTGGAGTGAAGCAGGTATGGGTGTTATACTGTATGATCGTGTTTATGTGTGTTTGTCAATAGATAGAATGACAGTGTCCTGGACCAAGTGAAGATGCTAAAGAGAGGACTGATTAGTTCCTACACATATGGTGCTTTACAGTAATCTAACATTTTCAAAATCTTTAAAAGAGAGAAAAGACTTAACTTTGGTTAAAAGGCTCAATTGAAAGAAACTGGCTTTAATTATTGAGCTAAACTGTTTAATGCCTATATAGTGTAGACATTTACAAATTTACTGAGATGGAATAACTCACTATAATTACAATTAGAGAAAAGAATATGATATAAGACAGCAGAATAACAAAATATATTAATTTAATTAAAAGCTATCAAGAAAAGATAGTTTCGATTTAAAAGCCTCACCAGATTTTGCTTTTTTAATGTCTGCAGGAAGAGCATAAGAAAGAGCCCTATGACTCCTGGGACAGCCCAGAGTTTTTCACAGTGAGCATGATGACACATAGGTTACAAGTAGAGCAGACAAGTATGACGTGCAATACCGCGTATGACCTACAGTGATGCACAGAGCTCCTGTTACTGTCCTCATTTGTCTCTTCTTGTATCTATTTTTCTTTATATTTTAAAGCTGCAGTTCACTTGGCACCATCTGACATGATTCCAAACCAATATTGTACAATCTGACTCAGATTTCAAACAAGATTTCATTAGACTCCATTATGCTATGTGACATGCACTTGTAAAATTGTTATCGCAGAGTCTGTATTGTGTAAGACAATGCATCTGTCCTAGAGGGACAACTCAGCCATGTGACCTTCTAATGGAGACCAGAGTTTCATTTTTCCAATAAATGCCTGGATCTATTTTCAAACACTGACAAATGAAACAGCATTCCTGTAAAAGGCTTTGTTCAAACAGATGCAGGAGTAATGTGATATACAGTATTTATTTATCTGAGTCACTGATACTAGTACTAACATACACCCACAAGAAAATGACCCTTTTTCTGCTGCAGAGATAAATATGTAATGTGGTTTTTCTCCCTCTGTGTTTGTTTGTGTGTGTGTGTGTATATGTGTATGTCTGCATGGCTACATGCCTGTCTCTGCACGTGTGTGTGTCCATGCGTTCATTCACAGCTCCTGCCAATGCCCAGATTGTGCACGCAGGCGCAGCGTGTAATGTCAAGGATGATAACATCAGTGAAAGAATCTACACCATCAAAGAAGGAGACACACTAGTGCTTCAGTGTATCGTTAAAGGACACCCACGACCACAGGTAGGCTCCTAGCCAACAACCTGCTGAGTGTTTGTCTGCCAGATGATTTGTTCATGTACTGGTTTATATCTGTGGTTTGAAACTGAAGGACATCTAGACAATAGTGTATTTAGGGGCTCAGAACATAGCCTGTCAGTCAAACATGCGGTCCTATTCACTAAAAAAGGTTCACCATACAGCTGAAGGATGGACAGGCTGACAGATGTTTTAAATATGTGGATGGATGAATTAAACTTTTCACATTACACACATTACAATACTTTCAAATTATTTAATCCTTCCATCTATCCCACTTATTCCTGAATAGGGTCGGGGGGGGCTTGATCTATGTCATGTCTGCATCTGTCTTGAAGTAATTCCTAATCTGCAGACCTGTCCTGGTTAAACCTTTGTCAAGTCAGGTCTTAGAGTCAAGCTAATATCTGTGTCCCCTTTTCTTGACACAAATAAAGTAAAGCCCAAGGTCTGATCAAGCTGCTGTTGTTGTTATGATGCATGAAGCTTCCTCATTGTTTACATGGTGCGTTCATGTCAGTGTGATACTGGTGACTGAAAAGACTGCAGGCGAAGTGGACACGTTCTAGGATAATAATAATAATCAAACAAATAGAATTTGTTTTTGGTACAGAACCGAGGCAGCCATCTGTGGCGCCAACTCACACCGATTAGCATCAGTTACAAACCATGCCATGAACTGGCTAGCATAAATTATAAGATGCATCCATGGGTCAGTGCTTCTGTTTGTGTTTCTGTTTGTGCTGAGTCACACAGTTTCCTCCTCACCTTTCAGTGGAATTGCCTAAAACCATGCCCTGCTTCATTGCCTTCATGTAGACATTGATCTCAGTTGACTCTTACCTGAGTCCTCTGTCTTAGTAGTGACACCTCCAGTATATTTGGTTTAGCATTACACAAGCAGCATCAGCAGTAGTTAAAGAGTTGGATTTGTGTCTTAAAGGCTGTGAGCTTAATTCCCCGGAATAGCTGATGGGCTAACTGTGCTCCACTGTAACCAGTTACCTACACAGTTGACTTAAAGTTCGCCTTTTAGCAAGATTAACTGTGCAGCTGCACCAGTGGATCTTCAGCATAAGACCTATTAGGAAGACCACATGTGCTGAGATTAATATATTTTCTGTCCAGTTCAGTGCATCACTCAATTTCCTTCTGTCCTTTTAAGCCACATTTGAAAGAAATGAAAAAGAACAAATTCTGTTATACAACAGCTCGGAGTGGGTCGCACATGCTGAGTTTGGAGCACAGCCAGTTAGTTGTTTATAAAGGAACATGGCTTTTCTTTCAAAAGGACATAATTATACATGACATGCATCCCTGAATATATGTACATACTATAGGTGCATGTGCATGAAAAAATGCAGCTAATTGCACAGGCAATAAAATATAATCAAGCAAGTACACACACGCATACATGTTTTCACTTCTCGTGGGGACTTTACATTGACTTCCATTCATTTCCTGGAAACTTGCCTTAAACTTGTCCTAACCCAAGTGGTCACCCTAAAATTCAGTGATTTATATGTGGTCCTCATGAGGAAGGGGAGTCCCCACAGTGTGATTGTATAAATAGATTTTGGACCCCACAGTGTGAGTAACACCAGGCACACACACACACACACACACACACACAGCCAGCACTGCACACATCTGGCTTCCTGAGTTGACCTCACACAAACATTTTGGACCAGGGTCTATATGTGTGTGTCTGGTGTGTGTTTGCATATGGGCATCCAGAGCTAGATCTAAAATGAACTGAGGTGACAGCAGAGAGTTTGTGTGTATCTGTGTGGGAGACTGCGAGGTGAGAAAAGCAGTGTTCTTCATGGGTGCATGTCCGCTGGCATCACATCAGCATGACTACACCAGTGCCTGTATGTCTGGGCCTCTAGTTCTTCTGTTTGTGTTTATGTGTCCATTGACTGTGTATGTGCATGTGTAAGAGGCAGTTTGCTTGTGTGAAAGCAGATACAAACTGATCATTTGCACATAGCTGCAATATCCAATTACATTCTGACCTAACCTGCGCATACATCTCTCTCTCATTTGATTCATCTCTCTCTCTCTCTCTCTCTCTCTCTTGCTCTCGCTCGTATACACAGAGATGCACCCCACATCTACAGGCTGTGTGCCCAAACACAAATATAAACAAACTTTTAATAAAACTTTTATTTTCACCAGTGCTGGAATATTAGTCATTATACAAAACATATTCAGAAAAACACAAATACTACACAAGTTCATTCCCCTGGAGCAGTTCAGAGATGTTGGAAATTGCGTCAGTGATTGCTTGTTCTCTGTGTTGGAGGTGGGAGTGTATTTTGAATAATGATCACATTGGTCACATTGTCAGAATCTAAAATATATATATAGTGTATGCACAAGTAAGGCTCGCCTCGCCTCTAGCAAAGAGACACTGGTTGTGCGAGAGTGTGCGTACAATGTGTAGACACACATTAACAAATGAAGGCAGGCCAAGACAAAGAAGCAGATGGACTCGGGCAAATAATTGCAACAGTAAAAACATTTCAGTTCCTTATGGCCTCAGACAAAACTGAGGTGGAGACAACAAAACCTGATTAAATCATCAACCTGTGAGGTTCAGCTCAAACACGTTGCACAGTTTAGAAGAACATTTTCAATACCAGTTAAAGGAACCTGGGTCCATAGGTGTTTATTGAGTTTGTTATAAAATCTGATGGAAAAACTGAATTAAGTCTGCAAATGGTTCAAAGGTTCTGTACTGGAAACAAATTCCTTGTGTGTAACATACGTGGCCAATAAAGGTGGTTATCCTTATCCTTAAAGCAGATTAAGAAGGACTTGACAAAATTGTTGTGTTTTTTTTTTTTTTTTAGTTAATACTTTGGTTTCTATCATTATTACTTCTCCCATGTTCAAAAATTCATGGCCATGTCCAATGCAATGGAGCCGGCTCTATTTTCTGATGAAGACAGTGAGATGATGTAAAGGTTTGTGTCACTGTTAAACAAGATAATTAATATATTTATGGTATTAAATTAGACCTGCTAATGAAACACTAACAATATCAGTACCATGAATGAGCATTAGATTTATTTCTTAAGGTTGAACAATCAAGCCAGTTTAAGTCATTTATTCGATTAGTTGTGAGAAGATGTTATTTGTTCCTGTCAATTGCTGTTACATGAGTGTTGAAATTATTTTTCACGCTCCATCTCATCTTTTTGCTGCTAAAGCTCAACAGTTTAGTGTTGTTGTTGTAAATGACTCCTTGTGATGCTGGTAGAACCGTGGAAAGAACCGTAGCTTTGTCCCACATAATAAGCATCAGCGTTGACGTCCAGTTGAGTCAAATAACACCACAATTCACTTTGTCCTTTTGCTGAATCTGCCGCCATATCTCCAGCCTGCTCTCCACTGTAAGTGTAGCACACGGGCACAAACATTGTCATAAACATTAGTTCCACTTCTCTACAACATAAAAAAATTTATGTCTCCAAAAATTGATTCTTTTTTCATTATTCAGTGATGTTGACCTTTTCAGCTAATCAAATAATCAACTGTTCACGCACATCCCTAGTCAGCGCATATGTAAATACAGATTCAACTGATAAACAACTAGCTGTTATGTTAAGTTAGATTTAGATGGTTGACTGCCCACATTAACTTACTTGTTCCTTTGGAAAGTAGCATGTTAAATCCACATCCACACCACTTAATATTCAGTTATAGTACCTTTCCATAAATATGCTGCTTAAATTTTCTTTGTTTGTTAATGAATATTTTTTGCCTTAGTTTACACTGGCAAAATTAACCCTGGTATATGTACAGTACACAGAGACACATATTTACACATGAGGGAAGAGGAGGAGGATGAAAGTATAAGGACAAGAAAAGAGAAATCGAATGATGAAAGACTGTGGTGGCACTGGAGGAACGAAGAGAGATACAGTGATAAGAGATAAGAGAGAGATGGTGATTCTTACTGTGATAAAGAGGAAAGAACAATTGAAAGTCAAGATAATCATGTCCATGTGATTGTGTGTTAACATGTTTATCTCAGCTTGTGCAGTACATGCATTACCACTATGTGCATGCAGTAAAAGCCAACACAACACATGTTTTAGGGTTATAGGGTAGAAAAATTGAGATTTAATTACATATGAACAGTTGCAACCTAAACACGAGGGCTGCTGTCTTTCAGTTTTGTTTTCGCCCCCACTGCATAAATGTAAAACAATACAAATTGGCCACATCTGCCAAAAATGAGTAAATAAAAATCACCCATGTTAGCATCCATTTGACCTCTGAGTGCGAAATAGAATAGAAAGATGTAAACAGCGTCTGCTGACCTCTGTCCCAGGGTGTTCTGCTGGAGCAGCACACTGTAGCATTCTCCATCGGATCCCATTGGGCTTACAGAGTTTCCGCTGTGCTCCGTTTGCTGTATTGATAACCTGAACCCTGTCACCCCTTCTTCCATCCTTACAGATTTCCAAACCTCCTCGTCTTTACACAATGGACCAGTTCTGTCGCTGCACAAATGAAAGCCTGTAAATCCTTTTTCTTTCTGTCACTGTGTGTTTAATGCTATTGGCTACACTTTTCAGTATATAGATAAAATACCCAAACTAAGAAGCTTAAAGGCCTTGAAATGAATCTGTGACCTAGAGAAGCTCGCAGCTCGTCTCAAAGGCATATATTCATAATGAAGTGGTTCGTTTGCATTTGTTTTGACATAATTGTATGTTGCTGCTTTGTGCTGACCGAACACTTTAAAATGTGGTAATTGGCTGCTTCCTACATTTGATCCACATCTATGTAAGTACATTCAGTGTTTAGTACTTCAAAGGTTCTTGACATTCATAAAGTTTTAGCCAATTAGCAGTGATGTCAGACAAATACACTGTTACATGAAAGGGGTCTTTCAGAAACTCTATGCAGCAACGTTGTGAAAAGCATTTTGGTCAGTAGTTTCGAAGCAAGGACAGTATGCAATGGTA